AGAATCGATGGTTATGATTCTGAAAGAGGTATTTATTATGTCTACATGACAGTGCATTTGGCATCCAACAGATGGCTATATTCATGCATCAAAATTTTCCTTTTTCGATAAGGAACAAATATTGCTGGTCATCGCGGTTACTTTCTAACAAACGATGGTGTGGATCTTAACCTGGCGCTTATACAATATGGACTTTCGTTTCTGAAAAAAAAGGGATACAAAAAATTACAGACACCTTTTTTCATGAGAAAAGAGTATATGGCTAAGACAGCTCAACTGGAACAGTTCGACGAAGAGTTGTATAAGGTAGTAGAACAAAGACTAAGTTCGTCAATATGTTCAAGTCTAACACTCGGATATATTGAGAATAGGTTGGTGGAGATGGCGAGGATAAATATTTAATTGCAACTTCTGAACAACCTATTTCTGCGTTTCACGCTAATGAATGGTTCGAAAGGCCAACAGAACAGTTGCCTGTAAAGTAAGAACAGGCGTTACATTGTTTCAACCATGTGTTTATACCCATATGTAATATAATTGAAATTTTTAATATGAATAGATACGCCGGATACTCGACGTGTTTTCGTAAAGAAGCTGGGGCGCACGGAAAAGATACATGGGGCATCTTTCGCGTACATCAGTTTGAGAAGATCGAACAATTCGTCCTTACCGAACCAGAAAAGTCTTGGGAACAATTTGAAGAGATGATTGATAATTCAGAGCAATTTTATCAGTCTTTGGGTTTGCCTTATCGAATAGTTTCCATTGTTTCAGGTGCTCTTAATAATGCAGCAGCAAAGAAATACGATCTTGAAGCTTGGTTCCCTTTTCAGAAAGAATACAAAGAATTAGTTAGTTGTTCCAATTGTACAGATTATCAGTCTAGGCGATTAGAAATTAGGTGTGGTGTAAAGAAGATGGGAGATCGTGAAAAGAAATACGTGCATTGTTTAAATGCCACCTTGTGTGCCACCGAAAGAGCATTATGTTGCATTTTGGAAAATTATCAAACTTCTGAGGTGAGATAATATTAAGAAATTTTTTCGGGCTATTCCCATATTGACATGGCCATTCATTGTTCAGGGCGTCATTATACCGGAACCTCTTCGGCCTTATATGGAAGATAGAGATTTCTTACCATTTGTCAAACCCTTACCAAAGAAAAAGTAACCAAATGAAACTTTT